GATTAAAGAGTTAACAATAAAGAATGTAAAATATGTACCAAAAAAATAAAATATAAAAAAAATTAAACAATAGAATAAAAATCCTTTAAAGAAAATGTTTAAGTTTTTAAACTTGTCTCTCTAATCCTTTGTTTTGATTTGTTAAAAAGGGATAATGATTAATAATATTGTCTCTATTGAACACTTTGATGTCTATACTTGTGACTTACAATTCTTATCATATTAAATTGAGAGTTTGAAGCTAAAAAATTATTTATACAATAAATAAAGATTTTGACTCAAAAATCATTAATAAAAAAGTAAAAAAGAAAACAAGTTAAAAAAGAAAAAAAACTAAACTTTAAAGTTGTATCTACTCATCGGTGCCTAACAATGCAAAAGAAGAAAAAAGTTGTTAGTAGATGCGTTTGTGCTATCTATTTGGTTTAAGATTTGTAATCTATTACTGTGAATGTAATTTTTTTTTATTTTTACTTTGGTATTTTATTATTTTTATTTTTAAAAATTATTATTATTATATAAATATTAAATATAATAAATATATATAAAATTTCAATTATACAAATATAAATAACATGTAACTTAAAATTTCTCTCACGACAGTTCTATATTCAGATATCAATCAACCCATGAGTGTTGTTCTAGTTATCTATTATGTTTGCCAAGCCTGCCTCTTCATAGATAAATTGGGTGTGCTAAAGCCACAATCAAATTAAGATAAAATGCATGCCGTGAACATGTAACCAAAGAGAAACAAGAAAAAAGGAAAAATGACATACATATTATATCCATGAGTTCAATACTGCCCAGATGAAACTGCTACACGCACAACTGACTCTTCACATCCAAGAAATTCTAAAATAACTTTCTGATTATATAGATGAAATTTCGATTGCCTCTAATGTTCCATGCGAATCATGCATCTCAGACCCTGGCCAGACAGCATGTACTCGAATGCTTTGTTGATCTCCGAGAAAGACACAGAGTGAGTTACAAACATCTCCAGTTTCTCCAGTTCTAGCTCCTATAGGAATCAACAAGGAGTGAAATTATTTCTGGGATTTTGAAAGTTTTGGAGGCTTGGACTAAACATGATTAAAGAAGGAAAGATTTTATGAACGCACCTTGTTCATGTATTGTTCGACAACTTTCGGAATATCAGTGCGGGGTTTGTAGTTGCCAAAGAAAGTACCCTTGAGAGTCCTCTCGTTCAGGAAATTCACTGGACTTGTTTTGAATGAATCATCTTTGCTTGGGACACCAACAAGCACTGCAACACCCCAACCCTGAGAACACCAAAACTTGGTTACCAAAGAAAACGGGAACAAAGATATACCTTTTCTTTTTAAGTAGATAAACTTTGAAGTTACTTACATCATGGACACATTCAAATGCTGAAATCATAGCCTGAATGCTTCCAGTGCATTCAACACTGCGATCCACACCTCCATTTGTCATCTCAGCAATCACCTTGTTGTAAGACAGCATAGGTTAGTTGCAGAAAAATAGGCAGCTACTAAGGTGGCAGCTAGCACTAATACTTCAATGCTTAATTATAACTATAATGATATGTCAAGCACACAGAATCTATAGCATAATCCCCAACCTGTTGAACGGGTTTGTCATGATCTTTAGGATTCACAAACTCTGTTACACCAAACTTCTTGGCTGCCAACAGATTAAACAAACATGAAACAATCCACATTAGTAACAAACAATTTAAAATTAAGAGGATGGAGAACTTCTAATGTAATTGTACATTTCTGTACATAAGATCAGGTTAGTATTACCTTCCTCAAATCTGCTGGCATTCAGATCAACACCAATGATCCTTGAAGCCCCAGAAACCCGTGCCCCTTCAGCAGCCTAAAAATCACAAGAGAAATCAGATTTACAAAGATTCTCTAGCACACTCAAGAAAAAAGACAGATGCAATAAGAATTGCTTACAGCAAGACCAACAGCACCCAGTCCAAAAATGGCAACTGAATGACCCTTTTTGGGTTTAGCAACATTCACAGTGGCACCAAAGCCTTCAAGCAACGACAAAATGGTTAGTTAAATGGAAATTTCATATTCTCCTTGTCATCATTTATCTGCGAAAAGGAAAATATTGTTAACAGAAAAGCACTGTCCCCTGACCTGTGGAAATCCCACAACTGAGAACACAAACTTTGTCAAGAGGGGCAGCTGGATTGATCTTTGCAACCTGTCCAACGTGGACAACAGTGTATTCACTGAAAGTTGAAGTGCCGAGAAAGTGATGGATTGGCTGCCCATTGATAGAGAACCTGGATTTGCCATCATTAATCATGCTACCCCTATCAGTATTGATCCTAAGGAGATCACACATGTTGCTTTCTTCTGACTTGCAGTGGGGGCACTCCTTGCATTCCCCAGTGAATATAGGGAGAACATGATCACCTGGCTGGAGATCAGTTACACCCTCACCCACACTCTCCACAATCCTATGAACCAGAAAATTCAAACAAACAAATTAAGGAATAAGAATTTGATCACTTAACACATCAATTAACACCAAAAGCAGCAAAGCTCATAAGTAATATGTCCAATCGGTTGATTATAACAGAACAGACTAACATGGACATTATGTAGACACGTCTATTCAATTTCTACTTTTCTATAAGTGGCATTTTAGATATGTACATACCCTCCCGCTTCATGACCAAGAATGCGAGGAAATAGGGGGTTTTGTCCCTGCAAACCAAAGAAATGGTGTCAGTGCTGATTGCAACAGAAGAGAGACACAGATCCATGGTAATAATTTGAGCAAACACAGAACAAAAATCAGACAAAAAAACCAAATTTTGGAATCAGCAGTGATCAAAGCAACGAAGGTGGAGAAAATTTATCCTCAAATTTGATGGAAATGCCATCAAAGAGAGAATCAACATCTCTGAACATTCAACAATCAGAAAACCCTCAAAGTAATTGCAAACAATGAACTTCTACCGCGCTTGATCCAAGAAAAGTTGCTTAAGATTAATCAAAATTTTATTGTCTTCCCCAACAGAAACACGTAACATATAGGAAAACATATTTTTAGCAATAAATAATCATCAGGGACAATTGTCAACAAGACATGAAAGTTGTTACCTTGGCCTCCCAGAAATAGACATCAGTGTGGCACAAGGAGGTATAGAGAATCTTCACACGGACTTCATTCCTTTGCGGGGGGGCCACCTCCACTTCTTCAATCACAAGTGGCTTCCCCGCCTCCCATGCGACAGCAGCTACAGGTAAAATGTATCAAATCATTATTACAAGATGGGTAAATCAGATCAAAGTTACACAAAATGGACCCATTTGAAAACGACTATTACCCAAGATTTTCAGCTGCCATGGATAAAGAACAAGAAAAATAAAAAAATAAACAGGCCAGGCAAGAGTGTTTCCAGAGACTAGTAAATAATAAAATAAGCAACAGATGGCACTAGCAGCGCCAGGCTGGTAAGTGGTAACCCCTTCCCCAAAAATTTCACTTGTTCAGAAAAAGAGAGAGAGAGAGAGAGAGAGAGAGAGGAAGAGGGAGAGTTGAAGAACCAATTTAGAAGAAACAGAATCAAAAAAAGTTTGAAACTTGATAAAGAAATTGAGACTGAGAATCAAAACCCATAAAGCAAACACAAGGGAAAGGGGGAAAAAATATTACCCTTGCAACGGATGACCTGACCGGCAGTGCTCATGGTTGATGATAGTTTGCTGATAGCTTCTGTAATGCGCTCTGTTTTATGCAGTGAGTGTGGAGGGGGAGCTTCTTAGAGGGTGAAATTTATAGTGCG